GGACCGTGGAAGGAGTTTCAAAATTACTACTTCTGCCATTCGGTTTCACAGAAATGGCATAGGAAGACTGACATGTCCGGTCAGGCACCCAGGCGTGGGGCGTGGAAAGAAAAAAAGAAAGGTTTACCACCCTCTTCCAGAGGACCCCAAATCCGGGCTCTTTTCTATTTTTGAGTGTTAGCTATCAAGGGGGGGGAGAAAGGGGGTAAGTCAGGGCTCTTTTCTATTTTTGAGTGTTGGCTATCAAGGGGGGGGGAAGGGGGGTATAAATTCGCTTTAAAGAGGCTGAAAGGGTTAAACTTCAAAGGGGGGGTGCTCCCAGGGTTGGGGAATGTCAGAGCAGCGGTCAGGATTCGGCCATTTCTGCTACTGGACTACAATCCCCAACGCCTGCACCATAAACTGGGTAATGGTCCCACAGGCTACTGTGCTTTTCCGGGTTGTTTTGTGGAGGGATTCCCGGCCTCCTTTTGACTGCAAAGTTGATTGGTTAAAAAAAAACAAAAAAAAGAAAGGGGGGGTGCTTAGTGTGATTCTGTTATTTTCTTTTTCATCTTGGGTTCCCTTAGTGCAGTTCTGTTATTTTCTTTTTTATCTTCTATTCCGTTAATAGTCTTTTCTTTTTCTAAACTATTTATTTATTTACAAGCCAAGACGCGGGCCCGGCATCCCTTACTTCCAGGGGCATAGTCCCACTAGCGAAGAGGATTGGATTGAACCCCTTAATTTGGCCGCGTTCAGCTCTCTAAACAAGGTAAGATGGTGGCCACACTGGGTAGAGACGCGGACACATACAAAGTGGAGCCACTCTTGTTGGGTTGGAAGGTGGACGATAGGGAGGATGGCCGGATACAGGAGGTACCTCTGTTACACTATCGCTCAAAAGTGGGACTGCAAATCCAACAAGCCAAGCGGATGAAGACCCCCACTGTGCTGGCCACGAAGAGAGCAACGACACATCAGCTTCAAGGGGTAACCCCCCAGGGTTTGCATAAGTTATGGAAGGGCCTGATCAAAATGCCAGTGCAGAAACATGCAGGAATAATGTGGCTCCAATCCCTGCTGGTCACAGCTACGGCAATTGTGGCTGGCATCCAAGGGAATGGAAATCCCCACGACCTGCTTGCGCAGCAACTGGGGCTGGGAAAACATGGTCCACCTCTGGCTATGCTGCCCGCTGGTAGACGAACTCATGACATGATGGAAGAGACACTGGAATAGTTTCACAAATGGTTCACTGGAGTGGTCTGATGCTTGGATGATCACTGGTATTCTCCCACAAGGCCTGAACTACAATGCGGATCTGGGCTATGTGGCAGGACACTATTTGGGCTGCCAGGAATGCCAAGGTGTTCAAGGGTGAAGAACATACAACACACCAGCAGCAACATCAGATCAGGAACAAGCGTCGCCGGGTCATCAAAGATGATTGGACAGAAAAAGTTTTGTCTGGTTCCTGAAAACCTGGGCTAAAGACAAAAACTTAGCTTCGATGAACCAGGAAGGGAGACTTTCCATCTGCTCCTGGCTATCGGATACCCTTTTAAAAAAAAAAAAAAAAAAAAAAAAAAAGGGCCCAGTGCCCAAGGCTCCAATTATGGGTTTGATTACAACACTTAACCACAAGCCTCTTGAAGTTCCCATTAGGGCTGGAAGAGCCTCAGCCACTGCTTCCCTGGAGACAGCTTCCCTACATACCACGAATATAGTACAATCACGGGGCATTGATTGCTTCCCTAGTAATGAAGGATTAACCCCGCAGTGTGCTGAATCAAACTCTGCCCTACTCGCCTCCTCAATTCTCGACTACACTCTGCTGCACAGTGAGGAGTAGGGGAAAAACAAATAACTTAAGGCAAAAGGCTAGTAATATGGCAAAACTAGTTCCGCAGCTTAGCGATAGTTACGATGAACTTCCCCCATGATCCTAATTAGCCACTTTCCTCACAAACGGGGAAGGCTCTGTTGCAGAAAATTTAAAACAAAATACCCGCGTGGCAGGTCCTGGAGTGAAATAATCACATACACAGGCCCGGTGCCTAACGTCACTGCACCTCCTGCCCTGCCAGGTGGTGGACACCTATGTTTATAGCCAGCGGGTATATGCCCACCGGAGACCTGATGAATCAAAAACACAGTCGAATGGGAAAATTAAAAAAGTGTCAAATCACAATTATACCCTCGTGGCAGGGCTGAAAACAATCCCACAAACAGCTCCGGTGCCGATCCCCACGACACTGCCTGCCCTGCCACGTGGCCAAAAGTGCGCTCAAGTAGGAAAACTGAAAGAAAACTAATCACAGTACCCACGTGGCAGGGGGTCAGACCAATCACAAGAACAGCCCCCGTGCCAGCCCTCACAGCACCCCTTGCCCTGCCCCGTGACCAAACCTGTGTTTATAGACACATAGCAAAAGTAAGTTCCCCAATCCCACGTGGCAGATTGCTGTTCAAACACATGAGCAGACCTTACCCACCCTGTAGCCACGTGGCCAGATTCAGATACGGTAGAGCTAGACCATCACATGCAACAGCATCCGATCTTTGACATTCTGGCATTCACCATCCCTTCCCTTGTGGCAAATTACTGTTCAAACACGTGAGCAAACCTCATCCACCCTGTAGCCACGTGGCCAGATTCACATACGGCGGAGCTAGCCTATCACATGCAACCGTATCCGATCTGGCAATCTGGCATTCACTATCCCACCCCTTCACGCCACCGTCCCACTCCTTATTCCCCCACAATATAACGAGCACACAGACAAGCAGCCCCCCATGCAATCAACCACTCGTTTTCCTGCCCAAGTCGCGTTGCCTGAAATGCATCAAAATACTCACCCACCGATAGTAGGAAGAATTGTTGATACAGAATCCCCCCCGTCTCAGCACTCTGCGTGATACCCCTTGGAGCTTGAGTCGTTGATTGAAAATTGAAAAGCTCCGCAGGCCCGTCAGATGTCTTCTTGCTGTCGACCAGAGCCTGCGTCGTTTTTGGTGTATCGAGAAGCTCACCCGGCCCATCAGATGTCTTCATAATACCCTTGGCAGTTGGCGGCGCTTCTTTAGATGATGTTGTGGATGCTTGATTATTAAGCACCCCGGCTCCATTAGATATCATCGAGATACCCACCGAAGCAACCCTTCGAACGGAAAAAGCCCCCGGTTCGTTTGATATCTCCGTGATGCAAACGGGAGTAATCTCCGCAGTTGCAGATGTTGTAGTCGATGTAGCAGTGATACGTGATGCAAACGGGAGCAGATGCTGTAGTCGATGTAGCAGTTATAATCTGAGATTCTGCTCCCGTTGTTGATGTCGTGTCGTCGAGAATACCCATGGTGCAGAGCGGAATCGTCGCAGTTGCAGATATTGTAGTTGGTATAGCAGTCACTGTGGTAATCTGCGATGCCACCCCTATTGTTGATGTCGTGTCGTCAACAAAATCCATGGTGCAGAGGGGATCACTCACCTCCATTGACAGTGTAGATGCGGACTCCGCTTGAGACGGTAACGGCGGTCGATCGAGAAGAAAGTGCCCATCCGCCACCATACTGGCTGGCAGCTCACCGCCCCAACTCTTCACAAGTAAAACTCCCTGAGTGCACCCCTTCTCGAACAAATCGTTACATTCACTCATGAGAGTATCCATCTCTCTCTTATCAGAAAGAGCAGCAGGCTGGAAATAACACTCTTCCTCCAGTTCCCCAATCACCTCCAACATCTCCAGCATGACTGCTTTCACCCACTGCAGCCAACGTGTGAGATCGTTCCCCCATCGATGTCACACCGAGCCAGGTCTGGTGAGAAGAGAGAAGCCGTCAACTCCTTCAAACGTCGCCAACCAGCATGGAGCATGGAGCGTGAAGCACCCACCATTTCTCGTCCCTCCATCGTCCACAGCCCCTTATAGTCTTCAGTCGTTTACTTACCTATGTAGTCTCGTGCTGCTGCTTCTCTTCAGAGCGCAAGGACGCCTGCTATGTGCCAACCACAGGATGCCACCATCCTGCCCTTCTTGTTCAGGCACCTCACAAGTCAAACCCCGCCATCTCCCTTGTTTGACCTACCTCACCGAACGACGGTGTCAACACCTTCCGTCCTCCTCAATCGTTTCGAAGAATCGGGTCCCAAGACCGCCGGGCCTGCCGTGCGGTTCGCTCCCCGCGCGCTCGCGTTCCCTCCCTGATCTGTTCTGATCGGTTTAGTATCTGATCCGGCTATCGGATACTCATGACTAGGATGAGCAAGGCGTAGACAAAGTATAAAATATGGAGCTCTGCTGTAATCCCTGATTGCCACTTAGGAGCCGCTGTAGGCTCGCTACTGTAATGGCCCGTGTTAGGCCAGCTTTAGAGGTAGCCTACTAGCCTCTATTTTCAGGAGAATAAGGGCCG